AGGTGGCCACCGCCTCAGAGCTTATAGAAAAGCCAGGTATGAGCCAGCAGTGACGGGGCAACTGCAGTCTCATGGGAATGGGGAGCAGTACTGGCTCGTCCTTCACAACCTACCAAGGTCACAAGTTGCCTCCGATGAGTGGCTCTCCGGCACAGCCACAACACCAGACACACAGAAACCAACTGTAGAATAACACTGCCACAAGGAGCTTAGGTTTATCGGGTTACACCCATCACAGTGCTCCCATTCCTCTGTTTATCTGTAAACTCTTCTCTGTGCTCTCCTCCCCAGCCAATGAATCACCTTTTCTCCCTAATCAGATTCTGTTAGCTTGTAAGATTAGATCCTTCTAAGGACACTGAACTTGTATTGTAAGTTATGTCCTCTGCATAGTTTACCTTAAAGCAATGTCCTTTCTGTCTGGACACAGAAAGACAGTTAATATTATGCTTTGTAACTTGGGAGTTGTTTGACTCCGAATAATATTTACTCCTGGGCATCTGCTTTCTTGACTCAGTTGCCCTTAGTTCCTGGCACCCCAAAAGCAGGGTCCCGACGAGGGGCTGAATGGACCAGGGCAAGCTGTGAGCTACCCTGGCATAAAAATTGGCCAGGCCAAAGCACCACGATACTCAACTATAAACTGAGGGCATGATCATAGACAAATGCTGTCATGATCCAAAAGTAAGTAACGATGAGACTAGGACCCTGCTGGGGCTAGGAAGACTAACCTGGCCTGATAGATATCACTGTCACTGTCCTTCCATTGTTCATCGATTTGCTTGAGCGTCTCCATTGGAGACTTTGTTGTTATTGTGTTTGGCATATCGAATACATCATGGGTAGCTTGCCAGGCTTTGCCATGCAGGCGAGATACTCTCAGTAGCTTGCCGAGCTCTCTGAGAGGGATGGAGGAATCGAACTCGGGTTGGCCATGTTGGCTGCATGCAAGACAAATAACCTATCTGCTGTGCTATCGCTCCAGCCCATATATATAGCGGAATATATAGTGAGATGTCCTCAGGAAGAACCAAACTGTTAATTTATCTCTTACTGTGCTCATACAGAATGACATTGCTAGAAATATTAGAAGTAGACTTACTACAACTATTTAAGTAGATTACTAGCTGAGGAAAGAACACACCCTTGTAGGGATCCCACCCTTGAGCAGATCTCCTAGTAATCTGGAATAAATCTCTTTAGATGAGATTTAATCCTTGAGTTAATCTCCTCGAGGAGTGGTTTTACCTCTCTTTGCTGATTTGTTAATGTTCAGCCCACCTTTGTGTCACCACCCTATGCAACTGCTATATAAACTAAGACTGTAAGCTCAAAGGGGGCTTGGGCTCTTGGGCTCAAGAGAGCAGAGGCTGAGGCTCAGGCAGAGGCTCGGGCAGAGGCTCAAGCTGAGGCGTGGGCTTGGGCTCGGGAGCTTGGGCTCCAGAGGGCAGAATCAGAGGTGAGAGTGAAGACTGGAATAAACTACAATTGATACCGACCAGCCTGGCCCTCGTTCATTGCTTCACCTGCCCATTGCCATCAACCTCCCTGGGGTGGGAGAAACGGATTGAGCACCGGCGGAAGAGATAGAGCACCGCCGGACCTTCTGAAAACACACAACCAATCTCCTAGTGATCTGGCTCTTTGCAGAAATCCAAAATCATTATATGACATTATATGATTCTCATACCAGCTATAGAAAACAAAGTATTTCACAACGCCTTTTCAGCAATTCTGATTGTTGGGGGGGAAATTCTAAGCAATAATGGTGCATCTTTTATCGAAATAATGAATGTAATCAATGTACAGAAGAGTTAAGTAGAAATCATCTGCCTTACAGGCATTGGGAGGGATGGGAGGGCGGCATATTGGTGTTCTTGGTGGTGAAAAATGAGTACTGATGAAGGGAAAGGTGTTTGATCATTGTATGACCGAGACTTAAACCTGAAAGCTTTGTAACTTTTCTCACAGTGATTCAATAAATAAATATAAGAAGAAAAAAAATAAATAAAATTATATAAAAAAAAAAGTAAGGTGGAGTTCATGCCCAATTCAATCAGCTAATCAGTGGCTGAGTAAACAGCAGTACTCCTACATTTAAAACAAAAAAAAAGGATGTGGGCTCAAGGGGGAGAAAACATGTTTTACATGTACATGCAAAATCCTGGGTTTGTTCCCCAGTACTGCATGCCACCTTACTTCCATACCCTCCCACCACAGCTGGGTGTGGCCAGTCTCAACAAGAATAACAACTACAACATAAAGACCTCCTAGAGGCAAATCTGCCTCAGCCTATGCAGGAAGTTTTCTCTGAAAATGATGACTCAGTCCTGAAGGCTACATAAACGTAGAAACAAACAAATCCAACTACATCAAGCATAAATGATTTCACACAGTTAAGAATGAAAAGGTGATCTACAGAATGGATGGCAGATTTGCAACCCATAATCTGAAAAAGGGTAAATATCCAAAATACTAAGAAATGTGATTTTAAAGAGAAATTTTGCCAAAATCATACATCAGGCCATGGAGCATAAAAGGTGTGTGAGGGGCTGGAGCAATAGTACAATGGGTAGGGCATTTGCCTTGCATGTGGTTGACCTAGGTTCGATTTCCAGCATCCCATATAGGTCCCCCAAGCACCGCCAGGAGTAATTCCTAAGTGCATGAGCCAGGAGTAACCCCGGTGCAATGCCAGGTTTGACCCAAAAGCAAACAAACAAAGAAACAAACAAAAAAGTGTGTGAGATGTGCCTTGGCTTCAAAAGGGCCCGAAGCACCCAGGATCTGACTCAGCCCCAGGAATGTCCTGGAGGCCCTGCTCAACAGCCACCTGCCTACCTGTCTGAAAAGTCACCACCAGAATCCATCAGAGATACGGCAGGCTGGACTCAGGAATGTGTTACTGAGAAGGTAGAAAAACATAAAGAGAGACAATGCAACTTACACCTAAAGAAGCACAATCCCACCTACACTGTGCCATGGGAGAAAACTTTGGTAGTCATGTGACATATACAATAAAATACTTCATCTACTTCTGTTTGGACCAAGTGGCCATTCTTTGCAAATCTGGTTTGCAGCATAGACTATGCCACTGATTGAATTGAAAACAAGCATAAGAGTCCTAATGCTAACTACCAGTAGGTGAAGTCTTCACCTTTGCCCAATAAAAAACAACAGAACATGTCATAGTGATCAGTCTAACTACACATGTATAAAAAAATTACAGATAGGTTCATAGACAAAATTAAAGAAAGTTAAGCAATCCAAAGGTTTAAAGTCAACTTTTAAAGAAAAACAGGACTTTGTACCTCAAAGCAGAAAAGATATACAAAGCTCATGCTTATGATTAAGGACAAATGATAACTAATACAATAAAAGAGAAAACTCCTATATATCAAGTTAGGAGAAAGGTGATTTTTATCCATTGCCTGGGTAAAAATATTTACCAAGTATAGAAACAGCAAAGTAATCATATCCAGAATATATAAACAATCTACCAGAAAGGCAAAAGTCATGAAGTGGCACTTATTAGAAAAGGAAAATCCAAGCAGCCAGTAAATATCAAAAAGATGTTTTATCTCAGTTGTAATCAAGAAATCAAACAAGCAGCTTCATTTTTTAACCTATCAACCCAGTATTTTAATAATATATAAAGATATGATATACTAAAGACCAGAATGGTTACAGAACTTGTCCTATTAGTATATTTATGACCTGGTCTAAGCTTTAAAGAAAATTATTTGCAGGGCTGGAGAGAGAGTACAACATCTAGGGCACTTCCCTTGCATGCAGCTGACCCCAAGTTCAATCTCCAGTGCCACTTAAATCTCCCAAGCCTGCCAGGAGTGGCCCTTCAGTGCAGTCAGGAATAAGCCATGAGTATAACCAGGTATGGCCCCAAAACAAAAAGAAAGTTATCTGTAAAATTAACACTGTGGTTTAAACCATATTTAAAATAAGTAGTACAGGAACAAGCACTGAGTATAATCAGGTGTGGCTCCCAAATAAAAAGAAAGTTATCTGCAAAATTAACACTGTGATTAAAACAGTATTTAAAATAAATAGTACAGAGCAATAGCACAGCGGGTAGGGTGTTTGCCTCGCACACAGCCAACCCAGGTTCGATTGTCAGCATCCCAAGCACTGTCAGGAGTAATTCTTGAGTGTAAAGCCAAGAGTAACCCCTGAGCATCACTGGGTGTGACCCCAAAAAAGAAAAAGATAAAGAGTACATAAAATACACGTATTTTTCCCATGGACAATTCTTCCTTAAGTAATGGAAATAAATGCTGGAGAGACAATAAAGGAGTAAAGGTGCTTGCCTTAAATGCTGCTGACCTGGGTTCGATCTCCAACACCACATATGGTTCCCTAAGTAATGCCAGGAGAGATTCCTGGAGCAGAGAATCAGGAGAAGCCCCATGCTCCGGCAGTGGAGCGTAAACCTCCCTTGCAAAAAAGAGCTATGGAAACAGATCTAGTGAGTCAAAAATAAATACAGGGGCTGGAGCAACAGACAGTAGGAAGGGGGCTCCCCTTGCATGAGGTAGACCCAGGCTCCATCCCCAGCATCCCATATGAACCCCAGAGCCCCACCAGGAGTGCAGAGCCAGAAAGGCCTGAGCACCACTGGGTGTGATCCAAAACCAAAAAAAAAAATTAAACAAATAAATAATTACAATAGTCTAACATTACTACTGGATGCATTCTTAAATCTTAATTTGTATATTACATTAATTATACTAATATTTTCAGTGATGTCAAATGACAAACTTCTAAAGTTAGCTCACTTGGTTTCTTTTCTATGATCCTTTCTTTGTGTTCTATTTCCAATACAGCTTCCAGTGAAACTGTATTCAAAAAACAAGAAAAAAGAAAAATCACACAAGTGATGAACTAAAGTATCATTTTTGTGTTATTTAATTTTTTTTAGAACTGCAGTTGGAAAAGGCTTGAAAACATAAAGTTAGCTTGAAAGTTGAGCAAAGTAACCGTACCTCACAATGCTGGCGAGATGCTTGTATTTCACACTCATATTTGTTCTTTACAGATTCTAAGCAGAGCTCTCTATAGATTCCTGCAACCAAACACAATTACTCTGATTATGTTAGCAATAGGGAGTTTGCTCATCTCTTCCTACAAGAATATCTTCACTACATTTTAAAAAATGAATGACGAAGAAATTAACCAGTTATTTCTAATTTTGTATTTAAAAACAAAATAATAGAGGCTCAGTTAAAATATTTACCAGCTGGGTAGATGGCTCAAAGAGTAGCAGTACAGCACCTGATGTGCATAGAGGAGACTCAAGTTACTGCCAGGAGGGACCCTTACCACGAACAGCTCTTGGCTGTGGCCACCAAACAGCAAACAAATATATCAAAAAAGATTAAAAACCAGTTTAAGAGGCCGGGGCAATAGCACAGCAGACAGGGCATTTGCCTTGTCTGTAGTCAACCCTGGTTTGATCCCAGGCAACCCATATGGTCTCTTGAGCACTGTGAGGAGTAATTCCTGAGTGTATAGCCAGGAGCACTTCCAGGTGTGACCGAAAAAGCCAGAGAAATCAATTCTAGATATTAAAAAAAAAAACAGTTTAAGAGTTGAAAAGAAACTACACTGCAAATTTTAGTTCATGTCCCAGTCTTCTAAAAACTACTCTGGAATGTTTGATATGGAAAAAATGAAATGAGCAAAATGAAAATAACTCTTCGTAAGAAAAGACAAGCCCTGGGAACTCAATAAAATATTTGAGTATATGGTGTCGTGAATCACATACATACACTCAAAGTAACAACTGAATACCAGAGTCATCAAAGACATCTTTTATAAAAAACGAATATTTATTTTCAGAACTTAATGCTGGAGCGATAGCACAGCAGTAGGGCGTTCGCCTTACAAGCGGCCAACATGGTCGACCCGAGTTCGATTCCTCCGCCCCTCTCGGAGAGCCCGGCAAGCTACCGAGAGTATTTGATATGCCAGACACAGTAACAACAAAGTCTCCAATGGAGACGTTACTGGGCCCACTCGAGCAAATCAATGATCAACGGGAGGGCCTTTACCTTTACCTTTTAATGCTTCTAGGAGTTAGATTTTTCAAATTATGCAATAAAATCTATGATGATCACATACTTCTAACAGGACTTCATCTACAAGGTCGATGAATCCACAAGAGAGTTTTCCAAGATAATAGTGTAACACAATTAACAGAGCCATGCACATATTTCAATGGAGAAATAGTAAACATATTTACAAAAGTTGACACAAAAAGTGGCCCTAGAAATTAATTTCTTTCGTGCATAGAAAGAGACAGAATCTGAAATTTTGCCATGAGCAATGTATACCACTTCACGCAAACAAAACCCTCGAAGAAGCCCCAGCACAGAAAAGTCACTGGCTCACATTATTATTTCCTAAACATCCAATGAGTCTTAGCTCTTTCAGAATGTCAACAAAAATTAGGGATGTGCTCATTTTCAATGGTGTGCAAAGTCAAACTTTAAAAACAGCACCACATTAAGTCACATCATTTACATACTTAGTTACTAAGTATTCAAGCATAAAACGGATGTGTAAGGGAGGTTTAGTACAAAAAGAAACTGTTATCAACAATGCTATAGGTATTTACATAACAATAACAAGTACATGGGGATCAACTTGTATCCCCAGAACAATGAACATACTCATTAATTAAAATTAACTTTTAGTATAAATATGAAAAATCACGTGATCTTTAATTATCTATATATCCCTATTGTGAGTCCTAGGACACAGTTAATAAGCTAAATTCCAGCAACAAGCAGAAAACTGAACATTAACCATGCAACTATAGTACATGTTGATTTATCCATAGTCACATAATGAGTAAGTGAACATCAAAAGGATACATTTATTATTCAGGGGAGCAGAAGAAATAGTATATAATGAATAGGGCATTTGCCTTGTACACAGTCAATCCAGGGTTTTATTCCCAGCATCCCATGTGGTTCCTTAGTCCTGTCAGGAGTGATCTGTGAGCCCAGAGCTTAGAGTAAGTGCCCTGAGTGTGGCCTCCAAACAGAAAAATTATTATTCAGGTGAAGTATAATCCCCTGTTTTATAATATTCTAATAAAACTTTTAAAAAATATGTAAACTAAAAAGTCCTTATCACTCCTATTCAAGTGGAATATTAATTTATCTAATAGGAAATTAAGCTATGACACTGGGAAAAAAAAAGAGTACTGAAAAAAAAATCAAGATTTTTTAACTGCTCACAGTGTGATTAGAAATATCTTCTCAACAATACTGTGGTCTTTTTTTTGATCCCCCACAGCAGCCAAGAAAAGCAAAAAGCTATTTTAATAATAAGTGTGGGCCAGAGAGATAGCTCAATAGGCAAAGTGCATACTTTGCACGCATGACCCCTGGGTTCTATCCCTAGGACCACGTGGTTCTCTGAGAATCATCAGGAGTGACCCCATGCACAGAATCAGAAGTAACACCCAAGCAATCCCAGGTGTGGCCCCAAAACAATCTAAAATTTAAAAAATAATGATCATGGACTGATGGGTAATAAACTACTATTATGAGTACAAATATATTTGAATATTATTAATAATCAGAACTGTCAACACCTTTCAAATCAACCCCTTTTAAATTCATTAAAGAATTTATAATCTACTAAATGAAAAAGATACTTCACTTGCCTACCTGCTACCTTTGTACGAATCTGCATGTTCTCTTGTAGAGTTGCCAGTGGTTCCAAATATTCTGGTGCTTTTCCGGCTATGACTTCTTGTAGTTTTGCATCCACCTGACTTAATCGTTCTTTATAAAGTCTTAACAAAGCAAAAATCATTGTATTAATTTTAAAAGCCCAACAAAGGTTAATATTTCACCATTTCTTTGTAATCTCTTCATTAATATCATTAATATTCTAATAACCTGATGAATGTACTTTTGACTTGATCACAAAATTCAATTAAATTGATTCTCTGTACATAATCACAAAACTAGATTTTTTTTTCCTTTTTTGTTTAGATATATCTTTGCGGAGTTAGGGGGGAGGGGGTGGGAGGGTTGGTGTGGCATCCAGCTGCACTCAGGTCTTACCCCTGGTTCTGTGCTGATAGTTCATACCTGGTGAACTCAGGAGACCATATGGGGTACCAGGGATCAAGCCAGGGTGAGCCGCATGCAAGGTAACGCACTACCCACTGAACTAGGTGTATCTTTTTGTCTTTTGTTTTGGTTTTAGTTTTTGAGCAACACCCAGAAAAACTTGGAATCTACTCCCAGAGTTCTAAGGGGAGAGTACAAGTGCCAGCAGGGATCAAACCAGGGCTTCCTGCACACAAAACAACACTTCAGATCATTGAGCTCTCTCTGGGCTCCTCATTTTTATCTCTTAAATACAGCTGAATTAGTTTTGGACACCTCCAACTTTTGTTTCTCTCTGTGTGTGTGTGTGTGTGTGTGATTGTGTGTGTGTGTGTGTCTGTTTTGAGTACATTCACAGGCAGTGCTTCATTTATTTGTATAATTTTTATTTTTGTGATGACAGGGATCAAACCCAGAGCACATGCAGGGCAAATCCTCTATTGCAGAACCACATTCCCCAACTCTCTGTTCCAGTTTTCAGTTCTTCTGTTTTATTTTGGACCCATTCTCAGCAATATTCAGTTACTCCAAGTTCAATACTCAGGGGATCAGATGCAGCATAGGGATAGAACTAGGGCCTCCTGCATGCAAAGTATACGATCTAGATCATTGAGCCCTCTCTCCCACACAATTTCAGTTTTTACTAACAAAACAATAAATCAGTTCTACAAGAAAGGTATATTTAGACACTCAGTTTTTAAAACAAATCATTCTGAATAGTCTAGATGTCACTCTAGATAGAAATTACTAGTTGTCTTAGGAATTATCCAAGGAAAATAAAGAATTCTCCGGCTTTCTTTACTTTTTCTGAAGTCAGTAATTATAGTACTCAATCTACTTTAAAAAGAATTTAAGGGAAATGGAGTGATAAAGGTAAAGCCAGGCAATGATTCCCACTTGTTATGTAACATACCCAGTTTGTCTGGACAATAAGGAAGCTGTAACAAAGTAAGATATTCGATAGAAAATGAAAAATGGGACATATGATCCTATTGCCATATGGAAGATTTATTCTGATTCTCCAACTGTTACACCAATAATTTTAGCTTGACTATGAAAGAGTATATGGAACAGTTCAGTATTTATTTTTGGAAGTAATTCAATGACAAACTTTTGTTTTTTAAAGTAAAATGTTTAGGGGCTGAAGCGATAGCATAACGAGTAAGGCGTTTGCCTTGCACGCAGCCAACATGGCCAACACAGGTTCGATTCCCAGCATCCCATATGGTCCCCTGAGCACCGCCAGGAGCATTTCCTGAGTGCATGAGCCAGGAGTAACCCCTGAGCATCGCCGGATGTGACCCAAAAAGCAAAAAAAAAAAAAAAAAAAAAAAAAAGTAAAATGTTTATACCATCATTCTTTAAGAAAGGAACTTCTAATCTTAATTAGTAAAGGCAATTCTAATATTGGCTTTTCAAGGATATTGTAAAAGATTTCTTAGTGTTGCCAAGAGTGTTGCTCAGAGGTAGAGTATATCCTTTGCCTGTATGAGGCTCTGGGTGTGATTCTCAGCACCAAAGAAAAACTTTGACAACCAAATTTTATTTTAAATGTTTTTATGGCAGTTTAGTAACTGAAGATCATTTCGCAAATTATTTATTTTGGGCCTTTATCATTTTATTATGGGTGAAGAATATGTCTTAATATATCACAAAATGGCATATAGCAATTTCTAAAAGAAACCACAGACTATGCTGTTATGTGTAACTAGCAATCTTTTTTTTTAATTTTTTTATTGTGAGTTCTTGAAATTTTTTTGTACATTTTTTAAAAGTCGGTGTTCAGTAATTTTGCTGAAAGAGAATACAGTATAAAGTTCTTTATGTATTTTGGATACAAGTTCTTGATTACATATATTACTTAGAAGTATCCTCTTTCCTTTTGTGACTTATTCTTTAATTTTCTAACAATATTACTCAGAATGACATAATGATGATTCTATCAACCCTATTTTATCATGATTTCTGCATTTCTATAAGAAAATACATCCCATTTTATTTTTTTCACCACCATCCCCACTATGGAAGGCATTTTTCCTCTCTGTCTCTGTCTCTCTGTATCTCTCTCTCTCTCTCTCTCTCTCCTCTCTCTCTTCTCTCTCTCTGTTTCTCTTTCCTTTCGGGCATTGTAGTTTGCAATATTGATGCTAAAAGGTTATCTAGAATATCCCTATACCTACTTTTAACACTAAGCTCTTGTCCAGCGTGATCATAGGAATTGTTTTTTGAAAAATTATGGTATCTGGCTTTCATTTGTAAAAACCAATAAAATTAAGGCAGTATCATCCATCTATCATTGATCATTATAAAGAGATATTTAGAGGAGGATTCTGAAGAAATAAAGCAACTTTTAGTATTAATTAATAAATTATTTTAATTCAATTAAATTTTTTAAAATGATTATCTGAATTAATTGCCAAAATAATACATTATCATGTTTATCTAGGCAAAATTTTTCTAAAACATAAAATTTGATGATTAAAAAAAGCATTGTAACTGTAGCTCATGGTGATTCAATAAAAAAAAGTGCAAAGTCAGACCAAATCATGATACTTGTATTTTTTAAATTATAAATACAATGTTAGGTAAACATTAGAAAAATGTGACACAAAGAATGACTGTATCTGACACTCACAAAATTTACACAAAATATTAATCCCAAATAGGTGAACAGCAGCTTGAACAAAAACAATATTCACTTAACTATCCACTTCAAAAAAGATTCCTCAAATCAGTATATTTTTCCGGAACCTCAGGATTTAACATATACTCATAATGGTTAGATCATGAATGCCTCAGCAGCAAACACATTGCTAGAGTTATTCAGTTAATGCTCCAGGTTACTGAACAGTTCACTGACATGAATGGAAATTTGAGTTGCAGAATTTCCTCTGTCTTTTTAAGGAGTTGACAGAACTCACTTTCTACCACTGTACAAACTGCATATAGTGGATATGTTTATAGTGGATTTACTACCTTATGAGAGTAACGATATTTTGTCCTGTGGTGCTAAAACAGAAGCAGGAAAATCTTCTTGTTGCTGCTTATTGTTGTACTATTACATAATCATTACTACTTACTGTCACCATTATACTTTCCTATTCTCCTGAAAAGGATTTAAGACATCTTAAGAGATACACAGTATACACGATAAAAACAAATTTGGGCAGGAGGAAAACATAAGATAATTACATACCTAGTAAAATTATTACTTTTTTTTCTAAAACGCATTTCTGGATATCAATTCCTCAAAAAAGAATATTATTAAGTAAAAGAAATAAGTCTACTTCGGAGAGGGGGCTTTGGTTGTTGGACCACACCCTGTGGTTCACAGAGTTTACTCGTGGTTATGCTCAGGTATAAATCCTGACCAGTGCTGAGGGTCTTACTCAAAAGGTCAGTCCCTTACCAGCTGTACTGTGTCTTTGGGCTAACAGCCTTTTTTTTTTTTCCTTTTTGGGTCACACCTGGAAGGTCAGTCCCTTACCAGCTGTACTGTGTCTCTGGGCTAACAGCCTTTTTTTTTTTTCTTTTGAGGTCACACCTGGCGATGCACAGGGGTTACTCCTGGCTCTGCACTCAGGAGTTACTCCTAGCGGTGCTCAGGGGACCATATGGGATGCTGGGAATCAAACCCGGGTTGGCCGCTTGCAAGGCATACGCCCTACCTGCTGTGCTATCTCTTAAGCCCCCAACAGCCTATTTTTAATATTCTCAAAATGAATAAGCTGAGAGGGGCAACGAGCTAGCAGTCACGTGAGCTATGAGAAAGCATAAATCAAGGCAACTGTCAGCGCTCAATGAATAAGATTGATTTAATGACTATACAGTTGCAAAGTTCTCCTACATAATACATTATATTAAAGCATTATAATAATTTCTATTTTTTTGGCTGACAATAAAACATCCTTGAAAAGCAAAATAGGTATATTTTAATTAACTATAGAAAAATTTTACAGTAAAAGACCAAAGAGATAGTACATGGCAAGGTGCTTGCCTTGTATGAAACTGACCTAGGTTCTATCCCTGATTCCACATATGATCCCCTGAGTCCCACCAGGACTGAACCCTAAGCACAGAGCCAGGAGTAAGCCCCATACACTGCCACGTGTGGCCCAAAAACAAACAAACAAAATTATACATGAATTATTATGTTAAAATACAAAAGTACAGAGTTGCCTCTCTTCCAGAAAGATCCTCAATAAATTCTCAAAAATGCCCAAATAATGGACTGATTCTTTGGAAATCCAAAGTAATTTCAATTTAAATTAATAATATAAGTCTCAAGAGGAAGGAAATTACACCATGTTTTACAAAGTCAAAATAATTTTAAACTTTCAGGCTGAAACTATAGTACAGCGGGTAAGGCATTTGCCTTGAATGAGGCCAACCAGAGTTCTATCCCCAGCACCCCATATGGTCCACCCCATATGGTTCCCTATGCCTCGCCAGGAGTGATCCCTTACTGCAGAGTCAGGAATAAGCTCTGAGCATTGGGCTGTGGTCCCAAAACCAGAAAATTGTAATTTTAAACTTTCTATTATTTTCTAATTGCTTATATTGTTATATTATTTTATGTTATAATATAATGTTATAACATAATAATGTGTTATAAGCAATTACATTAATTTCTTATATTAACTGTTGCACAAGCAAAGAACATTATTCATCTCTAATACAGTGAGAGTTAATATCATAAAAGGTATCATCCATCAGTCATGGTAGACAAATTCATGTGGTAAATAAATCTGCCCCAGCTGAGTCTGGCAATTCCAGATACATGAAAATGGGTTTCATCTCTTCACCAGTCCCCTCTAGCAAAAGAGTTAAGGGGGAGGCAACACAATTGTGAAAAATTAATAAACTGAAGAACCAGCTTCTGCATAGACATTATCTTATATTCTCAGACGGTTCTTTCATGTACATCAGCTTTCACATATGTCCAAATATGTACCTGTACTACATGATATTGCCAATTAGCTCCAAAGTGAAAGCTCTCCTTTGAGTTTGTTTTTTTTTTTTTTTTACTCTGCATCTCCATCTTTGATGTTGGAAACACTCAATCCACTCTTAAATTATCCCCAACTTTACCTAAGAGTTCTGACACAAGGCTGGAGTGATAGCACAGTAGGTAGGGTGTTTGCCTTGCACGTGGCTGACTCAAGTTTGATTCCCAGCATCCCACATGGTCCCCAGAGCACCGCCAGGAGTTAATTCCTGAGTTCAGAGCCAGGAGTAACCCGGGAGCATAACTGGGTGTAACCCAAAAAGCAAAAGAAAAAAAAGAGTTTTGGCACTTCAAAGCCAGGAAACAGCGCAAAAGCTGATGCTGTGCATGTGGAAGTCCCAGGTCTCATCAGGGTCCCCTTGACATGACCCGAGATGAGGACGCTGCACAGCAACTAGCCTCTGAAACCACTAGGAGGGTCCCAAAATAAAACCAAAAAAATTCTGGCATTGGACAGGGAGGATATAGCAGTACCTAATAAGAACCCAACACCTGCCAAGCAAATGTCTATAAATTTTACACCTTGCTCATGTCAATCCTTGTGCACTTAATAAGGAAGCTGTTATTATACTTTACTAATTTCAGAAAAGATTGGATTATTCTACACTTCTTCTAATATTATCTGCCTTAGTGGAAGGAACACAATAGTACAAAGCCTGAGTTAACATTACTTTCTAATGAATTGTAGAAAAATTATTTTACTTTTCTGACCACAAAATATGAGGGGGAAAAAAAATTTCCCAGCCTTGAAGCTGTTGCAAGAAGTACACTAAACTAAATACACGTGAAAACATGTATGTACAATCAAATATGAGATGTAGATAAAAATCACAATGTCATCCTTAGAAAATATTCTTTTATTCTCAAATATTTAAAATGTTATCTTTAGGGGCCAAAGTGATATTACAGTAGGTTGGGAGCTTGCCTTGCCTGCTGCCAATCTGTGTTCGATCCCTGACATCCCTATATGGTACTTGTGCCTGCCAGGAACAGAGTTAGGAGTAATTCCTAAGCCCCGCCGGAAGTGGCCCCCCCAAAAAATTAAATTAAATTATAATGTTATCTTTATCCAACTACTTATCACAATAATGAATGAGGCAGATTAGGACCAAGAGTTCAACAACCAGGAAAAACATTTTACCAATAGGCAATCAATTATCCATAAAGAAATCTTAATAAATCCCCCAAAACACCTACTTCAGAATCCTCAGTTAAAGTAATGACTTCAGCAAACACTGAAAGCCTCATTTAGATCAGTCACTGTCACTGTCACTGTCACTGTCCTCCCGTTGTTCATCGATTTTCTCGAGCGGGCCCAATAACGTCTCCATTGTGAGACTTTGTTGTTATTGTGTGTGGCATATCGAATACGTCACAGGTAGCTTGCCAGGCTTTGCCGTGAGGGCAATATACTCTTGGTAGCTTGCCGGGCTCTCTGAGAGGGGCAGAGGAATCGAACGTGGGTCGGCCATGTTGGCCGCTTGCAAGGCAAACGCCCTACTTGCTGTGCTATCGCTCCAGCCCCATTTAGATCAGTAATATCATAAAACACATAACGGAAAAGACTTCAGGCTGAAGATAACTTTTCTTGCACAATATATATGTAACATGGTTACAATTCAATGACAATGACCTTCTTAAGTCTCTACTTACTGATCTTTGAGATCGGTAAACTGTTTCTCAAGATTAGACATTTCATCCAAACATTCCATCCTTCTTCTTTCACAGTCTTCATCATCCATTTCTAGTCATAAGAAGGAAAATGGCAAAGAAAAAATTATTTTTATGTTCCAAATTTACGTGAACATTAATTTAAATGGAAAAACAACAGAACCATATTTATGAAATTAGACGTGCAAAGTCATAAGGGAAAAATAATTATCCAAACTAAAGTCTACTATATAGACTGTAACCTAAAATACAGAAGAGCATTATGACTATAGCAGTTTCTAGACCTTGTTTTTAATCCTTTTAAAAATCTTTTTTTTTCATTTTTTATAATTTTATTTATTGAATCAACGTGAGAGCAGTTACAAAGCTTTTGGGTCTAAGTCTCAGTCATACAATGAAACACCCGTACCTTCACCAGTGCCCATTCTCCACCACCAAAAATCCCAGTATACCCCCATCCCACATCCTCCCCCTGCCTGTGGGGCAGATGATTTCTACATTACTCTCTCTCTACTTTGATCACATTCACTATTTCGACACCAGACCCACCATTATTTGAGATTTTACCCCAACACTCAGATCTGATGAAAAGGCAATAGACAATTTGTGTTCTATTGCTGATTATGAATAACATATGATGTCGTGTGGCTGCAGTAGGGCCATGTGGTTTTGAAATTCCGAAATTTTAACACTTAAATCTGGAGGGATTTCTGCCCAAAGCCACTGGGTTTAGAGATCTGCTCCTGAGTCTCTGGGATCATGGCCGTTGAGCAGCTTGATGAGGAGCCAGAGAGGCCGTTTGTGGGCAATGACTTGGGGTCTCATTGGGGTGGGGAGGACAGGCCCGGCTCCCCCCGCCCCCATTCCGTGAGGCCCAACAAGTTTCATCACTGCGGGCCCAAGCCTGACTGTCCAATGGCCTCTGGAGGATGACAGCCACCAAGTCGCCAAGAGGGAGCTGGTGGAGGGACAAGACCCTTTCCTCCCTGGGGTGGCCTGGCAACAGTAACGTACTGTGGAGTCCAGATGCATTTCTGCCAAAAGACACTGGGTTTTGAGATTTGTTTCTGAGTCTCTGGGATCATGGCCGTTAAGCAGCTTGATCAGGAGCCAGAGAGGCCATTTGTGGGCGATGACTTGGGGTCTTGTTGGGGTGGGGAGGACAAGCCTGGCTCCACCCCCATCCCATGAGGCCCTGTGTGTCTCGTCACTGGGGGCCCAAATGTGACTATCCAGTGGCCTCAGATGGATGGCGGCCACTGGGCCACCAGGGGGAACAGGCCAAGGCACGAAACCTATTCCCACCTGGGTTGGCCCAGCACCGGTAGCCTATTGCAGAGACCAGACGCATTTCTACCTAAAGCCACGGGGTTCTGAGATTCGTTTCTGAGTCTCTAGGATCATGTCCATTAAGCAGTTCAATCAGGAACCAAAGAGGCCTTGCCTCCAATTATATAGCTGAGCCGGAGGTGGTTTGTGGGTGTGTTTACCACATACCTAACTTTTGGCCATTTATTTTCTTGGTAAACTTTGCCCCAAGTTTTTGGGGTCTGGCCAAAGGCACAGCAGCAATTTTGGGGTATCTGGAAGTCTGAAGGCGCCATCAGGCTGCTGATGCACTCGCGTCACAGGTACAGATTGACCTGCTGGCGGCACCATACCCCCGTTAAAAATCATTTTAAAGGACTCTGTATAAGCTATCTTTATGAAGTAATTAACCCACTTTGGGTTTGTTTCCACCAACTCATCAGAATTTAAGCACCAAAATGATTAAAAGTTAATATTGTTCAGCCTTTGATTCTGTTGAGACTGAAGCAGTCATTGAAGTCCTAGCCAAACAGGGTGTTCAAACTCAATACATCAGGATCCTCCGTGAGCTGTATTACAGATTCACTACCAGGATCTCACCATCCTACAAAGAAGTGATCATCAATGTCAAGAGAGGGGTTCGGCAGGGTGATACCATTTCACTGAAACTCTTCAGTGCCACCCTCGAGAACGTCATGCAATGACTGGAATGGGAAGGAATGGGAGTGAAGATAGATTGTCGGCAACTACACCATCTCCGCTTTGCTGATGACATCATTCTAATAATACCAAACATTAGTCAAGTGGCACAAATGCTGGCCGACTTTGACCCTGAGTGTGGAAAGGTCAGACTCCAGCTGAATGTTTATGAGAAACAGTCTCATTCCTGACGTTCCATTCACTCTCAACAGAATGAACATCTCTAAATATAACAGTTATGTGTACCTAGGTCGAGAAGTCAACATGACAAATGACCTGGCACCTGAGTTGCGCAGGAGGAAGAGAGCAGCTTGGAATGCCTTCAAGAGCGTCAAAGAAATAGCTAAAAGGACAAAGAACCTCTGGCTCTGGGCACATCTCTTCGATTCCACTGTTCTTCCTGCATTAACATTTCATAGGGCCTCAGAAGCCTGGGCCCTACAAAAACAGGATGAGAACGCTATTCGGTTCTCCCAAAGAGGAATCGAAAGAGCTTTGCTTGGAGAATCACGCTTCGCTCAAATGAGAGAAAGAACCCGGAGTTTTGAACTTCGTCGATGATCAAGAATCAGGGACGCTGTCTCATTTGCCAAGATGCTGAAACTCAGATGGGCTGGACACATAATGAGATTTGGAGAGGACCGCTGGACTAGAGCCATTACCGACTGGATTCCACAGGACGTCAAAAGATGGCGTGGCCACCCACCTACGAGATGGTCAGACTTCTTCATCAAGACCCTGAACGATCGATTTGAGGCTCTCCGTGTTCCTAGAACGAGTAGATGCCATTGGGCTACACTAGCATGTGACAGGGACAAATAGAGATGTTACTGGTGCCTGCTCGAGCACAATGATGAGTAACGTGATGTCAAGTGATCAAGTGATTGTTCAGGGACTAGAGCAATAGCACAGAGGGTAGGGCGTTTGCCTTGCACGCAGCCAACCTGGGTTCAATTCCCAGCATCCCATATGGTCCCCTGAGCACCGCCAGGAGTAATTCCTGAGTGCAGAGCCAGGAGTAACCCCTGTGCATCACTGGTGTGACCCAAAGAGCGGGAAAAAAGTTAATATTATTCAAAACACTTTTGAAATTCTTTCACAATTGCTCACATGGTTGAATTCCCAGTCATTTAAAGAGAAAACTTAATCTCTTTATGTTCACCATTAAGATTTTGATCTCCTGCTCCTCTACTTCCATTGTTGTTGCTTCATAAATTAGCGTTACTTATTAAGAAAGAGGAAAATGAGGATAAAAATAAGAAAAATACTTAAAGAAAAGATGCTGTTAATTACTAGATCCTTTGTATATTCTGTATCTTCTATTTTTGGGTCCCATACCTTAACATAGCAAAATAGGCGCCAGAGTGATGGTATTAGCAGGAAGGACCCTGCCTTGCATGCACAGACATGGATTCGATCCCTGACATCCCATATGGTCCCACAAGCACCGCCAGGAGTAATTCCTGAGCGCAGAGCCAGAAATAACTCCTGAGTATTGCTAAGTGAGACCCAAAAAGAAAAAAAATATATATATATCAAAATAATTGAAGCACAAAACCATCTGACATGTTAATCTTCAACAAAAGGTTGAGCCTGAAAAAAATGTTAAATTATTTTCAGCTGCTTTCATATAGCAAGGAATTATGATTCATCTTTTAAATTTTATAATTTATATTAAAATTATTTTTGCTTGCTCATCATTTAGTCCTTGACTATTTAAAATCTGATCACTCAGATTCAGTCTTCAGTATATCTGGACAGCAGAGGTTTTTCTGTAGCCTTAAGAAAAACAAAACTGGGGCTGAAGCAATAGCACAGCGGGTAGGGCGTTTGTCTTGCATGTGGCCGACCTGGGTTTGATTCCCAGCATCCCATATGGTAGTACCCTGAGCACCTCCAGGAGTAATTCCTGAGTGCATGAACCAGGAGTAACTCCTGTGCATTGCCGGGTGTGACCCAAAGAGCAAAAAAAGAAAAAAAAGGAAGAAAAAGAAAACTGTAAAGGCTTAACACACAAAACGGTAAAAGGGATGCTTTTATAAGTAGTACTGTAGCACTCTCCTCCTGCTGATCACGATTTGCTCCAGCAGGCACCAGGAATGTCTCTATTGTGAGACTTGTTACTGTTTTTGGCATATCAAATACACCACGGGGCTGGGATACTCTCGGTAGCTTGCTGGGCTCTCTGAGAGGAACGGAGAAACTGAACCCGGGTCAGCTACATGCAAGGCAAATGCCCTACCCGCTGTGCTATCGCTCCAGCCCTTTATAAGTAAACTGGAAAAATACCTAATTTCTCTGTACTTGAAAAGTTTAATGTGTAGTTCAAATTAACATGTTCTTCGCAAATAAAGATGTCCATTTTCTAGAAATAGAATAAAGCAGTTTTTTAAAAATCACAAGTGTTACAGTTATATAGCTCAAAGGGATAGTACAAATGCTTTTCTATCTGAATGACTGATTCAAACCCTGGTTGAATCCTTCATGGTCTCAGAACACCACCAGGAGCAGTCCTAAACACTGCTGCTGCTGCCCCCAACAACAAAAAAAAAATAAACAAAATAACAACAACATTAGAGGGGGAGAATGTTAGCAAGTACTGTTTTGTGAGGTAAAAGTACCCATAAAACATCAAATGAATAACTGAATATAAATGTTTCACAGATCTAGGTAATAGATTCTCAAACAACCTAAATATTCTTTCCTTATAAGCCTCAATGTTAAAATCTCACTGACTTTCATCACTAGGCAGATTTCAAGTTATGCCAGGTTCCAATGCCTGCCAATTTCCCCCTATCAGGAACCCTTAAACATGCCTCTATCAACTCAAAAGCAGCATATCTGGAATCTTCTTTCTTCTTCACTTCAAATAGTTTACTTTCTATTTCTGTTCATAGTCCCACATGCTCCTCCCTGTACCTGGGATTTTTCCATTTTTTAAAGACTGAATTATATTTATTTATTGAGGGCTTGTGTGTGTCGGGGGGGGGGGGTCACACCCAGCGGTCAGCGGTGTTCAGTGATTACTCCTGGTATGCTCCAGAACCATATGCAGTACCAGGGATAAAACTTGGGTTTACCACATTCAGAACAAGCACATTATTTAACCCCTGTAATATCTCCCTGGGTTTTCCTTTTAACTTTAAATTTGTACTCATCAATTAATATCTGTGTTGGGGGATGCACTTTTAAATAGATTTCATATCTAGAACATTACTCCTGGAGGTACTCAGGGGACCATATGGTTGCTCTGAGTGATGACACAGTGGGTAGGGCATTTGCCTTGCATTCCGCCAACCCAGGTTCGAGTCCTCCGCCCCTATCTAGGAGAGCCCCGAAGCTACTGAGAGTATCCCACCCACACAGCAGAAAGCTCCCCAGTGTATTCAATATGCCAAAAAAACAGTAACAACAAGTCTCACAATGGAAATGTTATTGGTGCCAGCTCAAGCAAACCGATTAGCAATGGGAGGACAGAGCTATCTAGAACTTGCTTTACCGTCATTCTCCAACCAAAGTAGTTTCCTCACCTTTATAAGCTTTCAACTCTGGCCTTTGCACTGCCTAATCTTGATCTTTAACAACCAGGAATTAACAACCAGGAACCAAACTCATCCTACAAGACAACTCAAGTAAACTCGACATAGCCTATGCTAGTCACCTATTCTGAAAAGATTTCTTTTGACTTTAATTACTACAAAACTGTGTACTATTAATTGTTGATTTGGCAAAATTAATCACATTAGTAATTTCTGACAGTTCTTTCACTTAAGTGATAACTATTTATTTGCGCCTCATCAAGCAGTGCCCAGTACTGCAAAAAGAAGTCCCTCAAAATTACTTATTTCAGTCCGCTGATTTCCTGAAATCACACCCTTCCAAGGAAGATGGGCTGTGAAAGGGAAACCTGAAGAGAATGAATGAGAATGAATGGGGGGTGATAATAGGCTGTCATCAACCTGTCATCAATCCTCGCTTTAAATGACCCCCCAATCAGGCTAAGACAAAGACAGACTCATCATATAAACAGAAGGGAAAGCATCCAGATCACAAATTCTTTTCTTGAAATACCCATTCCTGAAAGCTTGCAAAACTGATTTCTTGATGTTAATGCCCTTCCGACCTCTGCAAAGAAAAACCTGGGAACTGCCCCAAGTTAAGTAGATCGGAGGGAAGAAAATTCATGACAACGTTCAAACAAAAGTGACCAAAAAAAAAAAAAAAGGCATCCCATTTATCAGCATAAAATCTAGAACAAGTACTGATGCTGGGCTCATCTCGATCTTGGAAAGTTTCGGGCGAGGACACAATCGGGACGGCTCCCGAGTTCTCCCCATTACTATCCCTACCCCTCACTCCCCCACCCCATCCCCAGCAAGGGAGCAGCGCAGTGCTGGCTAACGTGGGGTTCGATCAAGTCCCCAAATCGACCTTCGGCCCCGACCACCCACCCTGCTGAAATGTGACGGCTGCAAAGTGGCGGGGGGCGGGGGGGGGGGGTAGGGCGGACACTAAGGGGATTGCTCAGTAGTCTGGGGGAAAGGCGGCATTTCCAGGGTCCCCCAGACAAAACTGGGCATTCCCGGTTTTCGCTTCCAAGCCGCCGGCACAGCCTGGAGATGCCCAGGGCAGGGCGTGCGAGCGAGCGGGGGGCGCCCCGGGCTCCCGAGCGGTCCCGCCGGCCGCGTCCACCGGGATCTGCCGGCAGAAGCAGGCACAGCACCCGGCTAGGTGTCCGGGTGCAGCCGAGGGCCGGGCGCCAGTCTCCGCCCCTTCCCTCCACCCCGCCCCGCTCCTGCCCAGCAGGACGCAGCTGCCCGGCGTGCGGAAAGCGGCCTGTCGCTGAGCCCCGAGCGGGGACGCGACGTTCCAGCCCAGGTGGGTCGCGCACCTGAGCTGTCGCCATCCTCGGAGACCGACGAGCTCTCCGTGTCCTCGTCCTCGGAGCTGCTCCCCTCGTTTTCGGCGTAGTCCACCTCCATCTCATCGTGATGGTTCGTCTCCTTCTTATCCCCTCGGGAGTGGACTGGCATTTTCCAGCCGCGCCGCCGTTTCCCACTGCCGGCGCCCAGCCCGGCCACGGCCGCTCCAAGCAAGGGCGCGCCGAACGCCCCGACCCACCCGGCGGCCGAGCTGGTTCTGAATCCCCTCAGCTCCTCCCCGCCCCCGGCCCGAGCCTCACAACCTAACCCTCGGGCTTTGCTCCGGGAGCGCGGCCATTGGTGGAGAGCGTCCTCGGAGCCGGGGAGGCGGGGCTTGCCGTGCTCCCACCCGATTGGTTGCTCGTAATTGCGGCGCCACCTCGCAAGTTCTGTCGGGAGTTGTAGTCCTCCGTCTCCGGCCCTGCGGACGCTGCCGGCTTCCAGGCGGCAGCAGTCCCGAGCCCTTCCTCCCTCTGGACTTCAAGTCCCACAAGGCACGAACGCTGACGGCCCCGATCGCAGTTTATAAACTAAACAGAAACAGATTGTGCGAATTTGCTCTGTAAATACACTTTTCCCGCCAAGTGATTGTCTGGGTTCGCAGGATACTATCCGAGGTGTTGCTGTCAGAGGTGACGAGGTCTTTTATAGGAGGAAACTGAAGAAACGTCTCCTCTGCCTAAGTATCTTTATTACCAAGCTATATTAAAGTATTAAGTGTGGATGGTAATTTGCACATACTTATTAACAAACTATCATATTAAATTATTAAATGTGGACGGTAATTTGCACTTTTCCGGTTGCACTTTCAGTTGTTCCTAAAATGTTTTAAGTCAGTAATGTAGCAAGGAAGGGTTTTTTTTTCCCCTACAATTTTTATCTAATATTATTGGTATTATTTACAAAATGCCACCCAAATATGCCACCTTCCGTCTGGATTTAACTTCAGTTTTCAAATTAAAACCTCATATCTAACTTGATCAAGGTAATACTTCCCCAGTGACAGAATACATCGACAAGAAGAGCTCAATAAATATAATGATTTTAATTTAGTAATTGCCCACTTTTATTCTGTATCAGGTGCCCTGCCTATATCAGGTAGGCCCTTAATAAGGATTACACTGGGTTTAATTCGCAACTTAATACCTCCAAGGTAAGTGCTATTACCTCTATTTTACAGAAAATTTTATTTGCAGACAAATCTAACTTTCCTTGACCTAGGGATGTGGCTCATACAATGCAGAAATCCTCAATCCCTGCTTTCTCTGATTACCATATCCTGCGCTGCCTATTTTTATTTCCTGCACCATGAATATGCAGATCCCAGCACCAAGACCTAGTATGTGACATCACCCAACCCCCTCACACACAATGCAACAAACAAGGGGTAGGAAGGAAGGGGAAATCTTTTTTTTTTTTTTTTTTTTTTGCTTTTTGGATCACACCTGGTGATGCACAGGGGTTATTCCTGGCTCATGCACTCAGGAATTACTCCTGACCGTGCTCAGGGGACCATATGGGATGCTGGGAATCGAACCCCGGGTCGGCTGCATGCAAGACAAACACCCTACTATTGCTCCAGCCCCCAGGAAGGGGAAATCTTTAAAAGAGTGAAAACAAAAGGGAGAAGCACAACTCTTTCATCCCCTATAAAGATGGCTTTTTCTTTTTTCTTGAAATGGCAATTGCTATTAATGTCTATTTAGTAGTTATAGATTTTACCACATTACCTGCTCAAATAAACATGTTTGCCAGAAGATGGTTGTGATAATTACTAGGCATAATAGATTCAAGTCAAATCTGTGGTTTAATATTTAAAAAATCTTTTCAATAACTGCCTCCAAATTAAGGGCTTTTATTACCTAACACCAAGTCTACTTCTCCCATCTTGCTATATTCTCTAAAACAACTCCTGGGTTATGAATCATACACTGCGCATCCTAATCTGTCTGCCACCTGTTTTACAAAATCAGTTCTGACAGCCCACTCCACCAGCAGCTCCTCTACCATTTGGTGGACATTCGTGTTCCTTCAGGATCTGCTATAATTTGTACATGGCAACTTTGTACTTGTTTTCTTGTTTTATCTTGCTGGATTGTTGAGAAATGCAGGTTACCCACTAGATTTAAATTCCTCCTCTGCAGGGATGGTTTGAGTTTGGGATACAACTTTACAAGCATGTAGTATTCATAGAAATAAAGTTAAAAGATGGAAACTGGTGATGGAGAGAGAGTGTAGGGAGCAGATAGGGCACTTGCTTTGCATGCAGCTCATCCAGGTTGAATCCCCAGCACCACTATGGTCGGGAGTATGCCTCCAGATATGGCCCCAGTCCACCTCCAAAAAGTGGAAACTGAAAAGCTACATTTGTAGTTCTAAAACAGAACATTTTTCTTTCATATGTGAGGCCCAAGGTTAAATCCCTAGCACCAGGCCAGGGGAGTAGAAACTCGTCTACTTTCTGTGCATTGTGTGAGTTATATGGACCAGGGGAGCATCTGTTTTTTAGCTCTAGTTTATTATTACTGCATTCTACTGCTCACCCAAAGTTCTGGCCTTCTAATTCTCAAGGAAATTTAGATAACTCTGACATTTCCTAATTTATAAGTGTAGGTTTTGTAATAATGTAATAGTTTGGGGGGGTGATTTGATTGGTTGTTATTTTGTTTCCAGAGCATATAAAAATAACTGTGAGTGAAATCCCTAGCCTCTACTCTATCTCAGCTTGCAGGGTGTGCTAAATAGTAACAAAAGTAACAACAGTTAGGTTCCTGGGTATCTAGGTATCTAAACTGTACCAAGCACTGCTACATTCTTTAAGTACATTAATTCACTTAATTCTTACTACAAATTACCGCATATAGATAAAATTCTACCTTTTGTTTTCCAGGAAACTGGGACGTAGAACAGTCAGAAGTAATCTTACTTCACCAAAGTCAGACATCCAAAGAGTAGCAAATCTTAGGTTTGAACTTGGTTATACTGGCAAAAGAGTCTGACTTGAACAGCACCATATGTGCTCTGGTTGCAACATTTTTATTGTTTTAAGAGAGCCACAAGAAAGCTGGAAAGGAGCATTGATTCTATCCCCTTTCTAATGTTAACTAGACAATCCAATTAAACAAACTACATAATTTCTGGTCAATTGTATAAATAATGAGATTGCTCTATGCTATTTTTGAGTGTTCTTCCAGCTTTAAAAATCTTTTCAGAACTATATTTGTGTTTAAGTTGATATGCAGGATGTGAGTTACTATTAAACTGTTTAACTTAATTGTATTTGTGTTTAAGACAGAGAGAATAAGAAGAGAAATTAAGGTTGCACTATAGTGTTTTGCCTAAGAGGAAAGAATTTTTCTGCCAGATTTTTGAATGTTTGTAGGAAACTTAAGTGGAACCATAAAGGAAGAGCTAACAAGATTGAAAGAGAATAGAAGAAGCAATGAGAGAACAGGTAAGGTGCTTGCCTCGCAGATGGCTGACTTGGGTTCAGTCCCAACACCTCACAGGTAGTCCCAAGCCCACCAAGAATGATACCTGAGCACAAAGCCAGGAGTAAATCCTGAGCACTCGCAGGTGTTCCTTACCCAAAACAAGAATGGAAGAGAATATTGTTAATTTCAAAAAACAAAAAGCAATATAAAAACATGAAAGCAGGGTCTGGAGCCATGGCACAGCGAGTAGGGCATTTGCCTTGCACGCAGCCAACCTGGGTTCAAATCCCAGCATCCTGTATGGTCCCCCGAGCACCATCAGAAGTAATTCCTGAGTGTATGAAGTGACCCCTGTGCATCACCGGGTGTGACCTAAAACCCCCAAAAAGAAATTAAAGCAGAAGGAAGTTTCCTCAGTTGCAGTTAGACATAGTCATGACACCTTACACTTTTGCAGTACTTTATATTTCCTATATGCCTTTAAAGCCATTAGATACACTTTATATCTTGTATTTTATTGATTCATGTATATTTATTTATTTGGAGCCTTCTGGAACTCATGAGCTGTCGTAGGCAAAATTCACTATATATTAGCTTTCTTTTCTGAGTGATCCCTTTAAATTTCTTGTCCTACAGGAATTAGGCGGATCTGGAAAATAGCTCATTGCTCTAGAGGAAGCACATGGTCTGTCTTAACCGCAGTCCAGTGCCATTGAACATGGTGAGGTCATCGCTGCTCTACTGTCAGCCCCCAAAAGAAAAAAATAATAATAACAAGAAACCATGGTTCTCCCCTCTGACCCTGCTTTCTTTGTGCTCCTTCTAGCACTCTGTCATAGAGTGAGGATGATCTTTGTCTTCCCTGTTCCTTTAGGTAATCTCTTCCTCCTCCCTAAACAACCAGCCTGTCATCAGGATATACTAACAGTAGCTCCATTGGAGGATGTTATCTCCATACCCCTAGGAAACTCCCCATGTTTTCTGAAGATTTTAGCTCTTGGCTTGGTGTCATTTCCTCCAAAAGTATGTCTCTCATAACACTTGGTCATTTCAATATTCAGGTAGATGATCCTGTTTCGCTCCATTTCTAATGAGTTTGATCTGGTGGAATTTTAAAGTTTTGGCTTGAGCTAGAGAGATGCACTCAGTCTAAAGGGGGTTGATTGGTTTGTTCCCAGCACCTCATATGGTATACCCTGAGCCCTGCCAGGAGTGATCCTTGAGTGTAGAGCCACACGCAAACCCTGAACACCAGGTGCATGTAACTAAAATAAAAGTTTTGGCTTTCCTCGTTATACGTATACATGATTTATGCATATATTAGTTTTAGTGTACCATACCCAGTGGTGCTCAGGACTTACTACTGGCTGTGTATTCAGGACTTACTCCTGACAGGGATCAGAAGACCATATGGGATGCCTGGAATCAAACATGGGTCGGTCATATGCAACACAAGTGCCCTATCCACCATACTATACTTTTTTCTTTTTTAAACTAAGTATTTTAATATTACATGACAACTTAAATGTATTGAAAGGTATTCAGATTATCACACAATCATGTATTTGTGTGTGTGTAATCACAGTGCCTACATTTAATTTTTTTATAGGAGTACTGCTGTTTATTCAGCCATTGATTAGCTGATTGAATTGGGCATGAACTCCACCTTAATTTTTTTTATCTATTTATTTTCTTTTTATATTTATTTGTTGAATCACTGTGGGAAAAGTTACTAAGCTTTCAGGTTTAAGTCTTGGTCATACAATGATCAAACACCTTTCCCTTCACCAGTACTCATTTTTCACCACCCCTACTTTTAAATTTAAGCATTTTATTACATTTGTTCGAGACCTCTCTCAATTTCAATTCTTTCCCTTTCCAGAGTAACAATTA